GTAATTGGGTGTTCTGTTTTACAGTTATTATTTTCAAGACAATAGTTACAGATTTTTGAGTAAACAGAAAGATCAGAATCTAAAATCACTCCAGGAAGTATATAAGTTGATTTGATCATACTCCAAACACAGGATATCGAGATTTTTGGGTATGTCCATTTGGAGCATGTGATCTCTTTTACGCATATATCTAGTGTATATGTTAATGTCCTCTTCAGCACCTTGCACATTTGCATACATTTTCCCATTTAGATGGTGTTCCAACAAACAAAAAAGACGGTAACCTGATGGTTCCATATGTGGAGAATATGGTGGGTGGGGGAGAACTTCCCAACCCAACTCTAATATCTTGTGTTACATCAAACATGCCACATGTGGACGTGCATTGTCATGGAGAAAAAGAACACCTTTCTGATTGACGAATGAAGGGCATTTCTGATGAAGGACTCGATTTAAACGTTCCAGTTGCTGACTATAGATCTCTGCATTGACAGTTCGCTGTGGATTGAGGAGTTCAAATGAATTACTCCTTTGATGTCCCACCAAATGCAAAGCATCACTTTTTGTGGATGGAGTCCAGGTTTTTGGTGTTTAATATTCACATAGAGAATCCATTTTTCATCACCGGTGACAATTCCATCCAAAAATGGTTCACGCACATCACGTACCAGAAGAGATGAAGCAACATTCACACATTAGAAATGATGATCATCGGAGAGTTTGTGAGGTACCCTAACACCTTCTTTATGGAGTTTTCCCATATTCCTTAGGTGTTTACGTATTGTTTAATAAAAGACATGCAATTTCGGGGACATTTCACAAGTGTGTGTGTGTGTTGCCTTGGGTTAGACTCATCAAGCGTCTTCAGAGCATCAATATCAATTCCAACATGTCGGCCCCTGTCATCACAGTTTTTAAGGCTAAAGTCACCTTAATGAAATTTGCTGAACCATCGTTGACACTTATGAATGTTTTAAACATTTCCATAAACTTCTTTCATTTTCTTTGTAGCTTCAGAGGCGTTGTTTCCCTTCTTGTATTCAAACAACATTACACGCCAAATGTGTGTATCGTCGTGTGCCATCACTATAATGGATTAGAGTCTACTAAACTTTAAACATTATGCAGGCTACACTAATGTGACGTGTAGGCGGTTCATCTAACTATTGTTGTTTCCTTCTTGTATTCAAACAGCATTACGTGCCAAATGTGTGTCTCGTCGTGTGCCATCACTATAATAGATTAGAGTCTACTAAACTTTACATAGGCTACACTGATGTGACGTGTAGGCGGTTCGTCTAACTATTATACGTGATGTACGTTTTTTGGGAGGTGGATAGTGAAAGTGTTCCAAAACACAACATTAATTTCTTGACAGCCTAATATTTATCCTCTACATCATTTGAATGGTACTTTTGGCTGTATAGAAGGTATTGAACCTATAAGAACATAGCATGTCTTTTATTATTCAAGTTGATGTAGAATATAGATGGTAGATGTTTAACTTGGTGTAGCATACAGGCTATGGTTTTAATACCATACATTCCATCTGAATTATATTCAACTTAAACAGTTAGTGTGGTTCTGATCTTTCTGTTATGTATGTCTAATAATTTTTATACAGTCTTTCTGGTAATAGAACCTAAAATATTATATACTGTAAGTATAGAAAAGAAAATATTGAAATTACTAAAAGTCTAATGTTTCTGAACTTTGTAGGAATGGTCAGACATTGGTGGTTCCCAATGAACACCAACTGGACATTATACTACAAGATATCGGTGAGTATTGCTTCTAATGTTTGTTCTTACAGTGTAAATTATCAAAGTTGTCTAGTCTTCTTTATGGATTTATTACTCTGTTGGTGAAGCCTGGTCAGCTTTATTGATTTGCGTAGGAAACGTTTACTTTCAGCATTTTGATTAAACTCTGTGTTGTTGTACGTGTTCTACTTGATTGCATCATTAGTGCTGAATTTTAAATAAATTGTTGAAATTTAAATACTGAGGACTTTAAAAAAACCTCAGTTGTGACTTTCACACATTAATATTCTATAATAAATATTTATATTTTATAGAAAAAAGTAATCTTATGACTAATTGATGTCTGACTTGTTACAGTTATAAGGCTTTAGTCAAACTAATCTCAGTGCTGATGAACATGTAAGTTGTTACAGTTGTGTACATGTAAGTTATAAGGTTTTAGTCAAACTAATCTCAGTGCTGATGAACATGTAAGTTGTTACAGTTGTGTACATGTAAGTTATAAGGCTTTAGTCAAACTAATCTCAGTGCTGATGAACATGTAAATTGTTACAGCTGTGTGCATGTAAGTTATAAGGCTTTAGTCAAACTAATCTCAGTGCTGATGAACATGTAAGTTGTTACAGTTGTGTACATGTAAGTTATAAGGCTTTAGTCAAACTAATCTCAGTGCTGATGAACCTGTAAATTATTACAGTTGTGTACAAAGAAGTTATATTAAACAGTCTAATAAGCCTAAAGTGGAAGAACTAAATTCCCGATCTTTTACAATAAATAAATAATATATATATATATATGCTGTATATTTGAAAGCAAACTTTTCTGATATATAAATGTAAGGAAAATATATATATATACAAAACTTTTATAAATGTTTTTTAATGATTCTTCTCTTACAGCATCTTTTATTATACAAGATCCCCTGAAAAGATGGCCATTTTACTCCAGTTCACTTGGTTCTTCTGTAATATTTAGACCAAAGCTTTAGACTGTGTATCATCTAATTGTAATGTGATTGTTATGCTGAAGACAGAATCAGTCGTCCTACACTGAAAATTCTGCATATAACATGATTTTGTATATAATTACAGAAAGCTGGATCTTGAGCTAGTCTGTTAACAATATCAACATCAGTAAAAGAATTAAACAAAGTATTTCAGTTACTTGTATGATCTGATATTATTGCCTTCATCCATATTGAACAAGAATTCACTCATTTTGTCATGAATGGTCAATAACAAGATCCTTTTGTTAAGTAATGGTTTTAGTCATTTTTTTCTTTTACAGTGCTGTAATTTTGTTGACAATATTTGGTAGAAAGCTGTTTCGTCTACCAGTGTTTGCTTTATTTATATTGTTTTTGTTTGTTTGTTTAGTGAGAATAAACATGTCCAATAAAAAAAATGTTCATTTAAGTGTGGCTTCCACCAGCTGGGCTCAGCTTTAAAATGTTATTCCCCAAGCAGAGTCTTTATGTTACTAAATTTTAATATCACAGTTAGGAGATCCTAACGTTTGCTCTGCAGTTTATTGCAATGCTCGTATCAATCAACTGATACCATACTATGTTGTTACAGTTTTGTTTTTTATAGAAATGAGATGTTTTTTTTTTTCCTTTATGATATTGAAGTTTAAAACAGATTGCTCTCTATGTTTTATGTAGGTTAACAGTTTTAAGCCTCTCTTAAAGTCAGTCAAAAAAACTATTGCTAGTGTTGTAAAAATTTGTAAACAAGCTATTGTGTATGTATGTTAAATGGTTGTGGATCATTTGATTTCCAAAATATATGTGAATCACATAACAATGTATTACTAAATTTTATTTTTTATTAAATCAGCTTAATATATATGTATAAATATATAAAGTTACTTGGCTTCTTGTATCCATTCATATGTGAAGTGGTTTAAATGGCCTGGATTAAGACTTGTGTGTTTGGTCAGTGTTTGTGAATTGTTAAATTGAGTTTGTTTTTGTTGTCAAGGTCAAAATCTTTAAGAAGGTTCTTGTGAAGTAAAAACTGTAACATAAATACCTGCAGTTACTATTTTGTATATAACTATACTATTTTCTTTCAGTTTTTTGCAGTAATCAGAATTTTAATTTGTAATTTTCATTCTATAATCTAATATATATGTATACAAAATTAAATTAGCCATCGGTGTGGCACGGTTGTTTTGTATAGTTCAGTTTGTGTTTCCAATATACTAGTGAAAAGTGTATTTTGAGGAAGTGAGAGATCCCTTGCTTGATTTTTATTACGATGGCCAGACAGTGATACTCTAGTCACATACAATTTTCTGTAACTTCTGTAAAAAATGCAATTGATCTATTACTGTTTTGAATACAGCCTGTAAATCTGAACTTTTATGTAAAAGCATGGATTAAAGCTAGGAACAGTACATTTTGGATTTTGTAAAATGTTCTCCATTGGCATACTTGTATTATGAATGATATTACCTGATTATTTACCGTAAGGTTTATTTTACTGTTTTGCATGACGATTTTTCAGGAGTAGATTGTATACATTAAAATATGGAGACAAGGAGATCTTAAGATTGGCGTGTTTGAACTCGGTTTAACTGTCCATGACTAAATAGAAGAAGAGGATTTAGAAGGGTAATTAAAATTCACGATTTAAACTTGTTTTTAAAGTTGAATACAAAAGTAGCTTGTAGAAACTTTGTTCATCAAATTTGATGTCTTATATTTAATATTCTCTGTGAATTGAAGAAGAAATAAAGTGTTCCATTTGAATATCAAGTGTTGTTGTTGAGGTTATGAACCACTGTGAGGTAAGTGTTCAGTGTTTTCTTATTGAATTACAGTCTTGATAATTATTGTTCTTGTTAATTAAGTTTTGTATTTTCATAAAATAGTTAAAGATAACTAATTAAAAAAGAGTAAATTTCACCACTGAACTGTCATTTGCTGTTTTAAAGTTTATTTTAAATTACCATAAGAATCAGGTAATTAATATTTATACAGGATTTTACAAGGGAAATAATAATTTTTCTTTCTAATTGGTATAAAAAGGGATGAAAAATTGGGCAAATAAGCAGCTACAGAAGATACCAAACCTCTTAAACGATAGAAATTAATTTGATAATTTTGTTGCACAGATGACACACACATGATTGTTTTAAGTGCCAAGGATTTCTCCACAGTGTGAGGGATCCATACAGAGCATTAAATATACTAGTTGTTATAAAATCTTTTATTTTTAAGTCTTGTCATTCATACATATCAAATGTACCATACATCTGGTCTAGTATCTATATAGATACTAGTATGAATTTAAAACAGAAACAAAATTCAGGGATTTGTCCCTTGGAGTAATAGTTTTATTTTAGGAAATAACGTAGCGAGAGTGAATAGAGTATGTTGCATTAGGTTATGACAGTTGAATACCATCATATTATGCAACTAATGTATTTACTAAGGCTGTACTTTTGTAGTGTGTTGCTTGAGGCTATGACACATTGAAAACCTGTTATGTTACACAACTGAAGTGTTTACTAAGGCTGTACTTTAGTAGTGTGTTGCATAAGGTTATCACACGTTGAATACTATCATCTTACACAACTAACGTGTTTACTAAGACTGTACTTTAGTAGTGTGTTGCATAAGGTTATCACACATTGAATACTATCATATTACACAACTAACGTGTTTACTAAAACTGTACTTTAGTAGTGTGTTGCATAAGGTTATCACACGCTGAATACTATCATGTTACACAACTAATGTGTTTACTAAGGCTATACTTTAGTTGTGTGTTGCATAAGGTTATCACACGTTGAATACTATAATGTTACACAACTAACGCGTTTACTAAAGCTACACGTTAGCAGAGTATATAAAAGTTTTAACTAAATTTTTTAAAATTACTTACCTAACTTGAAAAACGTCAATAACGATGTATTGTAGCTTCATCTTTTGTCTATTGAGTTGAAAATATATTT